TCCACCAATTCCTTTTCTCCCCTTTTTTTCCCCAGGAAAATCCTTGAGTCAGGCCGCCCCTCCCAGTATGCCCATTATCTCCCAGTCGGAAACAAAGAACCCACGGATCAACCAGCTCTCGGCTCGCTGGCAGCAGGTCTGGCTGCTGGGCTGGAGCGGCAGCGGAAGCTCAACGATGCCCTGGACAGACTGGAGGAGGTAACGGCCACCGACTGCTCTGGACCGGGGAGGGGGAACGGTGCCGGGGGGTTGCTCGCCAGAGAGGTGCGAGAAGAGTTTTAAATCAGTGCTGCCTCTTGAATTGCCCAGCTCTTGCAGACAGTTACTGCTGCCTTCCTGAAAACGAAAAAGAAAAAAAAAATTCCTAAAATATTAAGGCTGAAAACTACCTTCTGTAATTAACTGCACGTTAATGAACTTCTTTGTGCCCCTGCAGTCGGTATCTGTAGAGGTAATGACAGCCAGGCCTGCTTTACTCCTAGTAATTAGTTTAACAATTACTGTCTATATCTTTTTCCAAACATCTAATGTAATTTTTGTTTTTGTTTATGCTTAACAAAGCAGCTATGCCCAGAAGTGAGTGTTTTTGTTTTTTGTTGCTTTTGCTGTAGGTCAGTTCAGTTTATACGTATTAATGTTTTTTCTTTGTTGCTTTTAACTCCAAGAATGTTTAGAGGGGAAAGACAAAAAAAGTGCTAAAAACTGTTGCATTACCTTGCTATGAGCTGCTTTAGCTGGTGGGATCATGAGGGTCCTTTCGGGGGGGGTGGGGGGTGTGGATAAAAAGAGTGTTAGTGTAAATTGGAGGGTGAGCGGCTCATCAGAGGCTGGTGGCAGAGCCGTGGTGCCAGGGTTTGCAGAGCTGAGGTGTGCCCCAGCTGCTGTCTTACCTGGAAGATGAGCAAGAAATCCCTTCTCGGCTGCTTAGAGGGAAAGGGAGAGGGAAGACACGTGCCCAAAATGATGCCAGCAATGGGTTTTCCTCCCGGGCAGAGACTGGCGAGTCGTTAGGCAAAATCCCAGGCGAGGAAGTATCCCCAAATTCCCAAGCAGAGACAGGGGGGGTGCGTGTGTCTGTGTGCAGGTAGCTGACATCTCTGCATATGTGTACGTATCCTGCCGTGGGGGATGCTGCATCCCGTGTCAGTGGTTCCGTGACGCGCGGTCCAACGTGGTGGCTGTCAGCTACGCTGTGTGGCCTTCTGTTCTGGAAAATCGATTTGAGTGGCCCCCTCGTTAACGGGGGGTCGTGTGGATAAACCCAGATTAACTTTCCCGGGAGGGCGGGTGGTGAGCGTTAGCATCGGGAGCTCGGGCACGGGCTCACCTGCAGGCTGGTGGCTTTGGGTGCTGTAGAGCCGGGGGTGCTGCCCCTTCGGGGATTTTCCCCTCCTGACTCTCACGGGTTTCCTTCCAGTTGAAGGAATTTGCAAACTTTGACTTCGATGTCTGGCGAAAGAAGTATATGCGCTGGATGAACCACAAGAAATCTCGGGTCATGGACTTCTTCCGGCGCATCGACAAAGACCAAGATGGGAAGATCACCCGGCAGGAGTTTATCGATGGCATCCTGGCCTCTAGTAAGTCCCTGTCTGCCTGAAACGAGCTTGGAAAACGGCCACCTCGGTGTGACGAGAGGTTGTCCCTGCTCCAGGACTGAGATGCAGACCGTGCTCTGACGAGTGAGGTCCCTGCATCAGTTGCTCATTTCTTTCTCCTTCCAGAATTCCCCACCACAAAGCTTGAAATGACCGCGGTGGCCGACATCTTTGACCGTGACGGTGACGGCTACATTGATTACTATGAGTTTGTGGCTGCTCTCCATCCCAACAAGGATGCCTACCGCCCCACCACTGACGCCGACAAGATCGAAGATGAGGTAAAGCACCGAAAGAGACGGGCGCTCGGGGGTGTGGGGGTGGTTCATGCTGCCGGTTGGCACTGAGGAAGACAAGGAAGGGGAGGGGGGGAAAAGGATCGTGTCGGTGCTGAGCCAAAATAATTCATCTGAACACCGCCAATACCTACCGTGTGTTTGAAGCAAAAGCTGCTTAGGGCTGTGTGTTATCCCAGCAGTGCCTTGTACTGGGGGAGATTCCCAAAATCCCGGTCCCTTACCTCTCTTGTTGGTGATGGCAGGTCACCAGGCAAGTGGCCCAGTGCAAGTGTGCCAAGAGGTTTCAAGTGGAGCAGATCGGCGAGAACAAATACCGGGTAAGGCAGAGGGGGCCGAACGTCGCCCCGGCGGCACAAGCCCTGCTCCCCCTTCCCGCCCGGGGAGGGATCACCCACGGGGTGCCCAGCCTGGTGTGGGGACCCCCCCGGGGTGAGATGGAGACCTCGTCCTCCGGCACGCCGGCTCCTGGGGGAGGTGGCTGAGCCGTGTTTGCCCAGCGCCGTCCTCGCCCCAGGGCGTTCCCCGAATCGGGAGAGTATAAAAGTGGCCCTGTTCTGGGGCAGCCGCCGGCCCCGTGAAACGCTGCATTCACTCTGCCGGCAGCCGCCCTTGAAGTTTTCCTCGTGGATGAGTGTACCTTACGCCTGTGTTTTTCTTAGCTCGCTCCCGAAGAAGGGAGAATAATTTCCTTAAAGAATCTCTTTGTAACGGGCTGGCTGTTTGTGTTTCACATCGCTCACCGAGGTGAACTGGTGAAACGAGCTGGCAGCGGAGCTGCCCGCTTTCCTGCCCGCTGACTTTGGGGCTGATGCTCCGGCCGGGAGGAGCCGAGCTGCGGCACTCACCCCCCGGCTGCACTGGCCCCGGGCTCCCCGACCTTCTACCTTACACCCAAATAGCGTAAACCCCACGGATTTCTAACTACCTGCAGTTAACAGTTTTCGTGATTATTGCACTGTTAATCCCATAAATGTTTTTCTTGTTTTTCTTTCCCCTCCTTTTCCTCTCGCCTTTCCTTCCCCCCATCCCCTCTCCTTCCACAACTCCTCTCCCTCCGTAGTTCTTCCTCGGCAATCAGGTACAGTTTGCCTTGCAATGCTGTCTCTCACCTCTTTTTTTTTTTTTTCTTTTTTTTTTCTTTAACGAACATAGCTTTGTGTGTCCATGATGCTGCTCTGTCCTTTGTTGCTGTGGGAGGATGTGATCTGTGAGCGCTGTTTAGCAGAGCCTGGTACAGAGGAGTGCCTGAGCTGGGGGGGCCACCCGAAAAAAAAAAACCTGCATTGGGCAGAAAAAAGGGAAAAATTCATTGGGCAGAAAAAAGAGAAAAATTCAATGGAAAAAAGCAGGATTTGACAGAAATAGAGAGATTTTTCTCTCCTAGGCTCCTTTCTCAGATGCATTGGGGGTGTTGATGGTAACCAGTTTCAAACCACAGCACCCTGCAGGGGGGAGCAGTGGGGTACAGGCGGGCTCGTGCCCGGGACTGTCCCTCGGGGACGGCCAGCCCGGATGAAGTCGCGGGGGTGCAACTGCCTGCACGAGGGCTGTACCAGGCTCTGGTGGGTTTGGATCGCAGTCACTGTGGAATGAGAATGCCGGGTCCACCCCTTTAATCCCATAGGTAACGATAACTAAACCCTCATCCCCGCTACACCCACTGAGTAACTCCTAACTGGAGCAAGGCTTACGAAACCTGCATGTATCCCCGTTACTCGTTACTGTCGTGACCCAGGATGAGCGGTGCGGCGTGCGTGAGTGCCAGCTGGTTTGGGGTGGGCAGAGCTCTTCTTTTAACGGGACTGGAGCATCACATCCCGTTACGATGTGCCCGCTGTTCCCCGCTCAAACAGAAAAGCGTGATTTTTTCCATGTGAAATGATGGTGCTCCAAAAACATGCCCAAAAAGAAACAAACTTGAATGTCCAAAGTGGATGGATCCAAGAGAGCTCTGGCTTTAATTTAGACAGTGATTATAGAAGAATTTTCAACAGCAACTGTAAAATAATGTCAGTGTGGCAGTGGAAATGAGAATTGATTTGTCCCTGGTTTTCCCTGGTGCAGAACTAGCTCTTGAAGGACGCCTTACGCAGAGCCCAGAGAGAGGGAAGGCAGCTGCCCTGCCCTCCTCCCTGCCCGCAGACACCGTGGCCGTGCCGAGCGCGGCTGTGGCAGCTCTTTCACCGTGACACTGGGGCGAGCAGGACCCCCGAGCAGGGAGACCCACCAGCACACAGTCCAGGGTCCCATGCCCCGTGGGAAGGAGGGTTGGAGATGCTGTCACCTCCCGCCCCTCTGCCTGCCGTGACCCGTCTCAGTGTGGCTTTGCACTCTCCGTTTTCGTTTAATCTCTTGGTTTTTGCGTTCTTACCCGCCCAGGGAAAATGTTGCTCCTTTTTTTTTTTTTTTTTTCTTTTTTTAATGATTCTGAAGAAGGTCTTGCTTCCAAAGGGGCTGGTTCCTCCACCTTCCCATCACAGCAGGTGCTCTGTAGACCTGGATGCAGAGCCGCTACATCCAAGCAAGGCTCCCGGTGTCCTGCACCGGCTCTGCCGCCTGCCCCGTGCAGAGGGCAACCAGGAGCCTGGGCTTGCCTGTCCAGGACATTTAGGGAGCTTTGAAAAACAGGCACATGCTTCTGATTCAGGGTGCACTTGTTTGAAATTGCAGGTATTTAAAATCACTAATGAACATTTGCAATCACTAATCAACATTGCTGCGGGATTCCTGCCTGGATTCCCATCACTCTGCACTCGCTGGGCGATCTCTGCGGCGGGGGCTTTCTGGCTGGTGGGGTCAAGTCTGAGGCTCGGTGAAATCCCTGGACTTCAGACTTGATGATGAGAGGTTTCTCGCTCAGCGGTGACACAGCACTGCTTGCCTCGCTGATTCACCAGCACTCAGTGATCTGAGTCAGCCGGCTCTTTTCCACGTGGGCTACACCAGGAGGGTCATTTTGTTGCCAGCCTCTATTTCCTTCGTGATAAAAAGAAAAACTACAATTCTGGCTGAGAAAACCCATCCAAAAAACAAATTCCAAATTCTCATTTGCTGCTCAAAAAAATTCTCTCTTTCCAGCTTTAAAACTAAAGGATTTGAATAGTTTCATCATCTTAAAATTACGCAGCAGAAAAATTCCTGTAAATTCATACTAGCCTGCATTTATCCCAGATGAACCTGTCCGGAGAAACCTTTAAAATATTCAGTAGATCAATAAGAGCGTTTGGGACCACACAGAGCATTTCCAGTAGCTTTGCCCTGGTGCAGCCCACTGCGGGAAGGAGCCGAGTGTCCCTTGTTGTGTTCCCCTTGTCTGAACTGTTTCTTGGCTCCACAGTTCGGCGATTCCCAGCAGCTGCGGCTGGTCCGTATCCTGCGGAGCACGGTCATGGTTCGTGTCGGTGGAGGATGGATGGCCCTGGATGAATTTTTAGTGAAGAACGATCCTTGCAGAGGTAGGGCAATCCCTGGCTTTTCTACAACTGGGGTCGTCTTGCCCAGTAAAGGGAGTTTTGAGAACTTGTCTGCTCTGTGAATGACCAGTACCAGAGGGGGTCTGGGTTATCCAAACAACAGGCAGGAGCTGGAGAAAACTGATCCAAAGCAAACGATAGAACTTAAAATTGTGAGATTTGATGATACTGCAGCAAATCTCGCAGCGTGTAGCCCGGTGTCTTGGGAGGAGAAGAGGGAAGAGTTGTGTTTCTTGTTTTTAAGACCCCAGCAAGTGGAGCTGCATTGCTGTGCTGGGGGTCTCGGCTTCCCTTTGAAGCCGCCTCGATCTTGGGCTTTTAGGGCTGAGCAGTGTTTGCTGGAGCTGTTTCAGCGGGATGCGTTTGGAAGGGACGCTTGGGATAACACAGACCAGGGTTGCATACCGTGGGCACGGAGAACCAGGATCGCCTCCTTTCCAAAACCTTTATTCTTGAGGTTTTATCATGGTTGGAGCTGTTGGGCTGGAAGCGATGCTCTGCTGTGACCGGCTGAGAGCTGTGACGGGGGGACAGAGAAGGATCAGCAAGGGGGATGGCCAGGAATTAAGTGCATCAAGGGGCAAGAAAGCAGGAGTCTGACCTGTTCTCCCACCAGAAATGCCAATCTCTGCTTCACGCAGCCGGGAGCCCTCGCAGGAGCATCCCCCAGTGCGGTTCACAGGGAGGATGGTGGGATGAGCAGCTCTGCCCTGGCAAAGAGGAAGGCAGCCCCACCTTCCTGCCCCCTTACTCCAGCAGGAAAGGAGCATTTAATAGCAGCTCACTGCGTATTTTGGAGACCTTAGGTCTGTACTCCATATGTCCCTGTCTCACTGGGGTCTCCAAGATGTTAATTGCTTCGGATATGTCATCTTCAAGCTGCTGCCGAACCGTTCCTTGCTCCTGCTGCCTAACGGCTGTTGGTGAAAGCGGCATGATTTACAGCGTGTGCCGCTTGCTTTGGGGAACCTTCAGGGTCTTTCCTGCTCCTCCGGCCTCTCCCGTTCATGCTTTGCAACAGCTGTTTTACGGTGCTGACATCGAGGTTATTTCCATCCCTCGGTTATCTCAGCGTGGTGCTTCCCTTCTGCAATTGCTTCCTTGGCTTTCTGGTCCATACTGCATCGACTCTGAAACCGTTGCCGTGTCCCGTAGGGCTCGGTGCACGCCCTCGCTCTCCGTTCAGATGCCATGAGTGTGAAACACGTTGGCGTGCATCAGCTGGCCCAGGAGCTGAAGTCCCCAGACCTTCGTTCTGCTTGGTTGCCCCTCGCTTGTCAAAGGGAGACCCTCCAGCTCTTTGGGGCGTTTGGGTGAAAATTTTAAAGGCTTTTAATGGGTGGTGCCCATTTCTCTCCTCCCCCAAAAGTGGCGAAGAGCTGCCCAGAGCTGTGAGCGCACAGAATCGCAACCCTTCAAAGCTGCTCTTACTATTTTTCAGCTATGTTAAAGGTGACATCAGCCGCTGTTGCAACGTGCCATGTATAGAGGCCATCGGGATTGCTTTCCCCAAGACGCTAGAGAATAACAGAGCATCCAGTATGAATTCATGGGCCTCAGGCAGCTTTTCATCGGATAATTTCTCAAAGAGCTAATCTGTGGCAGGAGGTGGTTAGGGCAGAGCGAGAGCTCGGATGATCTCACTGCCATCCGCTCGCCCTTGGAGATGGGCTTTGGGAGACACCGCAAGGACGCGCGCTCCGAGCCCCGGAGCCGCCCGAGCCCCCGTAACACCACCGGGTTCCCGCGAACCTCAGGTCTCCTCTCCTTTTGTCCCTTTCCAGCACGAGGACGGACCAACCTTGAACTCCGAGAGAAATTCATCTTGCCGGAGGGGGCCTCCCAGGGAATGACACCGTTCCGATCGCGAGGCCGAAGATCAAAACCATCCTCGCGGGCAGCCTCCCCGACGCGATCCAGTTCCAGCGCCAGCCAGAGCAACCACAGCTGCGCCTCCATGCAGTCCTCTCCCG